TGGGGTTTGACCCAGGACAGAGTGTGTCCAAGAATCAGTGCTGCCTGAAAGTTGCTGCCTCCTCCCGCTTCCTCCGAGTATATGGAGATGTCTGGCTTTAGGTCAGTGGAGGTGTGCGTGCGTGCGTGTATTTGTGTGTGTGTGCAACCTCCTCCAGCGGGTGTATCACAACTTCAGGTTGAGTAGAGACATGGGTCGATGAAAAATTGCATTGGATAATTGACTAAGATTCTATGTTTCAAAAACGAAAATAATTGCTTTAAAAGTTTGGCAAAATCCTTTCAGCTGGAGTGCAAAATCAGACTCTACCCTCAGTGTGTCTCCAGCGGCAGAGAAGATTCTGAATGGTACACTCCAGGGGAATGTGCTAGAACTTGGGCAGGCGAGAAGAGGAAGCTTTCAAAATGTCGGTGTCTATCAAAAGGGACAAGGACTTTAAAAGGTTGGGAAGCACATTCTAGGTGGAGTGGAGAAGTGGTTTCCGTGGGGTTGGAGGTTGGGTAAGGCTAGTGAAGTTCCGAAGCAAGACAGTGGCAGAGAATTGACAAGCAGTTACCGGAGAAGAAAGGTAAGGAGAGAGTCAGAGGTGGAGAAAGCAAGATGTGATGGAGAACTGGGGGATTTCAGGGCCTCCTCCTGCCTTTGGCTGCCCAGTTGAGATCCTTGCTCATTCTTTGGGCCGCTGGAGTTTTTCAGCAGGCAGCACTATTTGTGGGGGGTTGAGTGGGGTGGGGTTAGGGGGAGGAGGCCTTTAAAAATGTCCTTTGTGGCTAGAGTTGAAGCGAATTGAGTGCTATCTTGCTTCTCCTTGCTTTTCGAAGACCATTATCTTGGCTGAAGTTCTGCGGGTCTGAGATCAGTAGACTGGTTTCTAACAAGCTGTCAGCATTGCTTGCTTTCCGGTAAATACATGTTCTATTTTATTTCTCTTGGGCTTTTTGTGGTCCTGTTATATGATGAAGTGTTTTGATTTGCAGACCCTGCCAGTGTTACCTGGCTTTTCTAACTATAAATGCTTACACTGTACCAGGAAACCGAACCAATAATTTCAGATTTGGGACAATATTCTTGGGGAGAATAGAAAATGTTCACTATAAGAAGTAAAGGAGGTTTCGTTTTAGCCGTTCATACGTAAATGTACTACATAATAGCAGAAAACACTCAGGGCATATTAAAAAATAAATACCTTGCAAAATTCTCTGTTTATATATAAGAATAAGATGTTTAGGTAGTTGAATTTCTTAGTAGTATTCATTTTCTAAAAAAAAAAAAAATTGAGTTCTTTTATTTTGGTATTTTTCTCTCCCTCTCATTGCCCTTTGAGGGGAAGTCACTCTCTTGAACTTCACTGACTTCCCAGTGTTGTGTCTCGGTTCTTCTCAGGCCTTCCCCATCTCAGTCTCACTCCCATGTCTCAGTCCCTGGGATGCTGCCTGTGAACCAGCTTAGTGGGCACGGCTTCTCACACTTCCCCTCTCTGTGGGCAGCATTGCCAAGTCTGGGCAGGCAGGCGCCATTGAGGAGAGCTCAGCCCAACCACACTGGCCATCCTATTGATCAGCATTTCCTTTGTTTGGGTAGAAGTTGACAACTTATAAAGTTGATTCCAGCCATTAGAGGAATATGTTTCCATAACGTCAAATGTGTCAAATAGTCAGTCTATTTGCTCCACTGGCCCTGAATTTCATGATTTGTACATTTTCTAACTGAAGAACATTCTCATCATAAAGAACAACATGAAAGTGATGTGCAAAATTGCTTGCCACAGCAGTAAATCGCCAAAAGCACACATACTGACATTCAAAGTACATTCATAATAATATGACTGAATAAGGAATGGGTTGGCAACAATATATCTTGAAATAAGCAGCCATTTCTACTGTTCCCAAATTCTGCTTCACTTGGTACCTTGTTGGCAGCTGTTGATGAGTGCCATTGTGTTTAAATATACATTATGGCCTAATTTTGAAAATATAGTTTGCATTTAATCGCAAAGCAGAAATGGCTGAAATTTGAAGGTGTTTACTCCCATAATTTCAAAATAGAGAGTCAAAATCTTCTAAGTGGCCTAATTTTCATACATCCCACAGCATTAGCAGTGTTTGATTTCTCAAGATTATTAACTCAAGGTACGTTACTAAATGAGCGGGTTAATGTTGATGCACCTCGGAATTTCAGCCATCCCTAAACATGCATTTTCATGCAATTAAAAGATAATGGGCTTATAAACTGCCTTTCATGTTCTTCCTGATTCTTGCAAATTCAACTTTAGAAGGGCTTTCGAAATAGTTCATGCAAATGATATGTATGGCTAAAGGAACTGCTATGCCTAGAAAGAAGACGAACTTATTTCAGTTTGACGTGAGGCAAGCTGAGGGCATCTGTACTTTCTCCGGCCTTACAAATGCTCTGAGATGATCGAGACCTTCCAGTCCTTAGCGAGTCTGATGCAAAAGCAGTTTCCCTGGCAGGCTGCGGCGCGGCATCGAAAGCGTCTGTCTCCGCCTCTTCCGAACCCAGCTCTTCATCAGTTATAAACAATTTGGATTCCCTCCATTTGGGGTAAAAATCTTGGCTGCCTCTGGAGCCACTTGACTCACTCCCCGAAAGCTGGATATTCAGCTCCTCTGTGGACCTGACCAGGTTTTGTACAGACAAAGATTTGCCCAAGTCCTTGGGCGCCACTGGGTGGACGGACAACAGAGTTTCTCCTCCCATGTCAAAGCTCTTCCTCAGGGAACGGTCCCTGGTCAGATTTGACTGTGCAACCTGAACATTTTCCTTGGAGGCAACAAGGCAGGCGGTGACATCAGGAATGCTCTCCTGTAAGCCTGTGGGGTTTGGGTGCAGGGTCTCTGGCCTGGGCGGGTGCTTGATGGCTGGGAGAGGAGGCGGGATCTGTAAAGTTGCTGGGGCTGCTGGCTTAGGGGCCGCATTTATTTGGTTTGCAATGTTGTTGGTGGCCACCACCGAGGAGCCATCGCTTTGACTCAGTGGCACCTGGGTTGCTTGGCTGTGCATAGTGGGGCTCAGCGCGTAGAAAGTCTGGGCACTGAACTCATTTGGCGTCAGGATGAACTGCAGGCCTCGGGAGATGTTGGCACTAGCTGATCTGGTCAGGCAGCCACTGTTCTGGGCGGAGCTGGACAGGTCTTTGCTGTCCACGGGGCTGTGATAGTCAGATGTCTGTTCACATTCAAACGGTGGGATCTGGAATGAGGCCAAAGCGAGGGCGGAGGCGGAGCCTTTCCGGAGGACCTGCTGGTATATGTCTAGCAGGCAGTCCAGCTTGGACTCAATGGACTGGACCTGCAAAAGGGGGAGATGGCCACAGGTGAGTATAACTGTTACTAAGACAGGGCTTCACCTTTAGAACTAAAAAAATGAAATCATTGTGTGCCAATGCAATAAAATACAGAGTTTAAGGATAATGCAGACCTGATATTTACTACCATTTTATTTTATTTTAAATTTTTTTGATTTAGTACCATTTTGCAATGTCATGCCTAGCAGTGCTGGGGCCAAGGGAGGGCTTAGGAGAGGGATGCTTTGGCCTCTTTGTAATCTTCATTGGCACCCCTCTCCCTCAGTTCTTTAAAATGGACAATTGATATTCTCCAAACCCATGTAATCACTGTACAGATGGAACTTCACGACTGCCCAGCCCAGCCAGGTTGCCTTTCCCAAGCCTCTTCTGTGGAACTCTACTGCAGTATAGTAAGGAACTTATTCTATAATAAAATCATAAATAGCAATAAATAGCAATCTAGGTGATTCTGAATTGAAAAATAAAGGCACAGAATGCTTCAGAATTAATACCTGAAATATTTATGATTAAATTGGGGTAGCAATTTGATTTCTGGAAAATGGTCTTTGTAGTGATAATGACTTTTTTTTTTTTTTTTTTACAAAGTGACCTAAAAGAGAGACAATAAGAATAACCAAAACACAAATAAAAAATAGATATTTTTTATCTTAGTGTTGAAAATATACAATTGCTTCCTGTGTGATGAGGTGCGATTTTCTGTTCCTTATATGGAAGACCAAGTGTTTAGAGAATTCTGTCTATGCACAAAGAAAATTTCATTTCATTCGTTCTTCCTTGATTTCATTTCTTGATCTACCTTGCAAAATATATTAATCACTAAAATACATCCAATTGCCAAATCCAGTTTTTATTTAAAAAAATTCTGGCTAAAATTTTAACCAATATCGTTCAGTTGTACCTGTTTTTCAACCTTGACCACCCGGCCGAGCATACTGAGGTCATCTGTGGTCTCATGTTCTGCCGGTATTTTCTCTCGGCTCTTCTTATCTGATGTGATTTGACCTTTTCCAAGAATTTGATCAACACTAGCAGAGAAAGAGGACATCTGATTACGAGTACTGAAGATGGAGGTTGCCCTAGGCCAGAATGAAGTGTTTTGAAAAGAAAAATTCAATACAATTATCTTTAATTTATGTAAGTGAAATAAAAACGAACTTGTTTCAGTTGATGTGCTTTATTTTCTTAACATGAGAATTACATAAAATATTAATTTTCTTATTACTCTGATCCAGGATGAAATCACTTAAGGGTGATCTTCTGGAGGCAAAATTGCCTTAAACTACAAATTACAGAGTGACTTAAAAGAGGCCACTTGTCTGTTTCCATCTTTGACCAAGTATTTCCAAAATTAACTACTTAAGCTAATACAATATCATAATTATGATGATTTCACATTAATAGATTACTCAATGAACATTTATTGCTCATCTGATATGTGAAAGATAAGCAGATAAGAAAGCTATTGGAATTCTAGTTGGAAAATATACTCTACATGAGTTAGATACTCTAGTTCTGAAAATTCGGTAGCAGTTCAACTTGATTAAAAAAACCCTTAAGAGCCACAGATAGTTCTATTAAAGGACTTGGAAGACTGCTACCACGTAGGCAAAGATTGTCACATGACCACAGGATGAGTTAAAACCATTTCCAAGGGGACTTGATCACCCTAACTGGGAATTACAGTACTTTCCTATTTTGTGTGTTTTAGAACTGAATTACCAGGAGGACCGACTCAACTTCCCGGTTTACTTTGTCTGCATAGAAATACAGGCAGTGCCTACCTTCTGTCATGACATCTAATCTATTAAACTCCAAGCGCAAAAGAATGGGGTCATTATTTTATTAATATCTGGATGCCCACAGCACGTGGCACACATTACATGCTCTATAATTATCTGCTAAAAGAATGAATGAATGAACAAATTGTAATTTTTTTGTAACTGATTAACAGGTGTTTTATTAAGGGTCTAGTTTATATCCCTTACCCTGGGCTAAGTGCACTGTGGGCATATAAGCCAATGTTTCAGACTCAGTCCTTATATTTTAAGACTATTTCATCACAAATGCTGGTAAGTTGTGCCTAAGAGTGAAGCAAAATCCTTAAAAAATGGAATTGACTAAATATTTTGCCTTCAAGATAACACAATTAGACACATATAGTTGGAATAACATGTTGAACTAATTTCTTCTAATCACTCAATAAGATGTTCACTAGAAAAACAGTGTGTATCTAGTATTTACAGGACATGAAGGAAGGGAAGGGCCCAGTCTTAATCACCAGGAAGGAGAACAAACTTGCAACCAGGAAACAATACAAGAACCAGCCAGTCATTTTTCAGTCTTGACTCTGGCACAGTATACCGAGATTCCGAGTGCTTTTATTCCCATAGTGGACTTTAGTTTTTTGCTAATCCTCACCCAAGGATATTTTTCCATTAATTTTTAGAGAGAGTGGAAGGGAGAGGGAAAGACAGAGAGAAACACTGATGTGAGAGAGACACCTCGATTGGTTGCCTCCTGCACACACCCTGACCAGGGCCGGGGAACCTGCAACCAAGGTATGTGCCCTTGACTGGAATTGAACCCAGGACCTTTCAGTTCGAGGGCTGACCCTCTATCCACTGAGCCAAACTGGCTAGGGCTCTGTAGTGGACTTTAAATGCTTTGGGAGGTCAGAGTAGGGCACGGTATTGTTGTGGGCTGTATAGTCAGGTAAAGCCAAAGAGGAAAACTAGTTTATTCCTGAAGGATGGTTAGGATTTAGATAATAACAAAACAACAGCAGCAGCAATGGTAATTCAGATGGCATCAGAACAGCCATTAACATTTATTGAGCACTCATTTACTGTGTGTTTAATTAATTCAATTCTCGTGACAACCCTAAGAGGCAAGTACTAACATTATCCCCATTTTTGTTGTTGTTAATCCTCACTCGATATTTTTCCATTGATTTTTTTTTTTTTTAGACAGAGTGGAAGGGAGGGGGAGAGACACACAGAGAGAAACATCAATGTGAGAGAGACACATCCATTGGTTGCCTCCTGCGTGCACCCTGACCAGCGCTGGGGATCGAGGCTGCAACCGAGGTACATGTCCTTGACCAGAATCGAATCTGGGATCTTTTTATACTTGGACCAATGCTCTATCCACTGAGTCAAACTGTCTAGGGCAATCCTTATTTTAAAAAAATATGTTTTTATTGATTTTTAAGAGAGGAAGGAAGAGGGAGAGACAGAAATATTAATGAGAGAGAAGCATTGATTGGCTGCCTTCTTCAGGTCTCCTACTGGGGACCAAGCCTGAAACCCGGGGATGTGCTCTGACGGGGAATTGAACTGGCGACCTCCAGGTGCATGGGTCGATGCTCAACCACTGAGGCACACGAGCCGGGCACATTATCCCCATTTTTACAGATTAGGAAACTGAGACACTGTATCCTTGAAGGCTTCTAATACCTGACTTACATCCTTAAATGAAATCTATGCTAAAGGCAAGGCCCCGTTCCCCACTAAAAATGAATTTGAACTATGGAATTTAAAAGTTTTCTCTTCTACAGAGTTCCTCCCAGATAGTTTCTGTGCCTTTCCTTTACAACAATAACATTTTCATTGCTCACCGTGTTTGAAGGCTCTTAATTCTACACAACATGTCCAGGTGACCAGCAGAATATTGTTCAATTACATCTTTTACATCATATGGGCGTAATGTTTCTTTAAACTTCCGTTTTGCAACATGAAATTTCATTATTCTGTAAGAGCAACAAATGACACATTGTAAAGTAAGTTACAAAAATAGCATACTAGTAAAATGTAAGAAACTCTGGGGGGAAAAAATCATGCACCAAATTATTTTAGACTCCTATGAAAATGCAATATGAAAGCCTGAGATTACAGTAGACAATTACAGAATATCTCATATGGGGCAAACCACTTTTAGTAGAAAAACACACTAAAAAGAGATTATGTTTGAAGTGTTGCACCTTTTTATTGTACCTTTTTAATGTTCATTGAAACCCTGATTTAAAATTAAGGTCCAAATGCAATTCTCCCTTTTCCATGTGATCTCCAGAAGTCCAAGATATAGCACTTACTGACTGCATCCCTTATGAAATATAAAAATTGTTAAAATGGTCTTTAATGTAACGATATTCATTTTAAAAATACATTTTAATTCATTTCAGAGAGGAAGGGAAAGGGAGAGAGATAGAAACATCAATAATGAGAGAGAATCATTGATTAGCTACCTTCTGCACGCCCCCTACTGGGGATGGAGCCCACAACTTGGGCATGTGCCCCGACTGGGAATTGAATCTGCAACCTCTTGGTCCATGGGAGGATGCTCCACCAACTGAACCACATTGGCCAGGGCATGAGATTTTTTTTTTTATTACTATGCCACCCCCATGTTTTAAAACAATATTTTATCAATGCATTCCATGATGCCATAAATAGCTAAGCTGCATAAGATAACCAGTGCTTGCAACAACGTGGTATAATTCCTGAAGAAAGCAAAGAAACAATGGTTGAATGAGTCTGTGCAGACTTATTGCCGGTAAATGTTAAGTCTTGGTGTTTTTTCAACTATCAAGTGGCTCATAGACTCCCATTATCACAATCAAGGAGGCTCTATGAACCAAAATTTATTCTCCCTTGGTGGAAAGAGGGAAGATGAGGAACAAATGAGTTAAAACAGAAAATCCTCATTACCTATCCTATGTGAAAGCCAATTGCAAGGAATCCAAATTACTTTATTGGTTAAAAAGCCCCCAACTCTCTTGTAATTGTATTAACCTCAAATTAATTGTATTCTAATTAATCCTGAACCATCTATCCATAATATATATGGTTTTCTTAAATTCAAGTATACTTGTAATTGACATACTATATTAGTTTCAGGTGTGCAACAGAATGATTTGATATTTAAATATACTGTTTTAGAAAATTATCACCACAGTGAGTCTAGTGAATATCCATCCCCATACATAATAGTCATAAGAATATGAACATCCAGGAATGTCTATAATATTCTTTCTCTCTCTACCATATTTTTGCCACCAATCTCTTCTTCAGTTAGGCTAGGGTTTTGTTTGCAAAGACATTTATTATCAGCAGAAAGTAAAGAAAATCTGTATTTAATGTAACCTCTTAGTATTTAGCTTCGGTTCACAAATTTGTTTATCAGCATTTAGGTTTGATTGGGGCTCAGCCTCCTATATTGAAAAACTGGGAAAAAATAGTGCAATATGTATCCCGTGAAATTTTTCACCCCGAGTGACCATGTTAAACATATCTGTTTCCTCACACTAGATTGTCAGCTGCATGAAAGCAGGATGGGCCTCTTATTCAATCCAGTGCTTAATAAAGGTTAGCGCCTGTTACTACCCTACACCTGTTCTTCAACACTATCCTCAGCGCTTAGCACAGTTCCTGATACACAGTGGAAAGAAACATTTATTGAATAAAAGGATTAAGGAAAGAAAGAGAAAAATAAAAGATCCTCTGATAAGATTTAAAATAAAGACAAAAACAACAACAACAAAACAACCCAGAAGAAAAGCTAATCTAACAGCTCAGAAACCATTTTTGCTTCTCTTCAGTGGTGCCTGGGTGGGCAGGAAAAAGGGGAAATCTTTTTTATGTGCCCGGAGGTGTTTTTTTGGTTGTCACTGTTTGTGTTTTCAATATTATTACCACTTGTTATGTGAAATATTTTATATGTCTTACGTTTAACAGCACTTGATAAGATATTTTTAGCTCCCCTCTTTATAAAATTTATTTTTAATCTGTATTGTTGAAAGTATTACATATGTCTCCTCTTTTCCCCCATTGATCCCTTTCAGCCCGCCCCCGCCCCTGCCCCCAGGCCTTCACCACCCTGTTGTCTGTGTACATGGGTTATGCACACTGTGAGCCCCCTTTTGTATTAGGGAAACTGAGGTTCAGAGAACTTAGTTGACTTGGCTCCAAACTAGAGCCAGCAGGAGGCAAAGCCAGGATCCCACCCAGATCTGTCTGGTTCTCACCTCACATCACGTCTCAATCTCCCACGGCATCGATTCTGGAGATGTTGGTTAACTGCGATCTTTGGCAGCTTTTGTTGCCCATGGTGGCAGAAGCCGCCCTACATGCAGAGGGGCAAGCTTTGGCACGATCAGTGCATCTGCTCTGGCTGTAGCTCAGGCATTTGGGGCCAGTGGGGTGTGTGCACTGCACCTCCAAACTGAATTCCCTGTTTTGCGCTAATGGGGACCTGCCCTTGTTTCCCGGTAGAGAGTTGTGTGAGTTTGATGTCATAACTTGTCTCCAAGTTGTGATTGCTTTTTTCTTTTCCTTTCACAAATGTTTTAAGAGAAAGAACAATCGGAAGGCATTCAACGGGCAGTGTTACACTCCAGCCCTCGGTCATATTTTAAGCAAAACTTAAACAATTTCATTTTTACTTACACAATTTACTATAAGAACTAGCCAAATTAAAAGAAAATCTGTTTTAAAGTTGTGATCAGCTCTCATAATTTTAATCAATATTAAATAGGAAACGAGTAGTCTCTTGTGTTATTTCAGTATGGCCGTATGCAAAGTAAAGTAGACATTAGAATTCTTAATTGGCTTCCCGTTTATTTTCACACATCCCATCATTCTTTAGGTGGCATTGTTCCTCTAGTGCTTTACTCAGATTTTCCCACCTTCATGTGAAATAGTGCAAGTTGGATTAATAAGTATCACTTTAATTATTTGGAAAAGAGGCGTATATGCAGGGATGGGCTGGAGCAGGCTTGTACTCACCCCCAAGAGCTGATTATTACACTTTCAGGGATTTTCTGTTTGTTAAACACAGCCATTATTAAAAATCAAATTACATAAATGTATAATAAAATAAATTATATTAAAAACAAAGGTAATGCACCCTCAAAACTCATCACTTCCTAATTATTTTACTGCATGTTACTTTGTTCTTGAGTTAAGCACATCAGTTGTATCAGTATGATGGAAATACTATCTAACACTGTAGTATTGCACATGTCTCCCCAACTTTTTGTCTAGTGATGTCACACTGAGTGTGCAATTAGCTATGGTAAGAGTATTTATACCATGGAAATCGGCCAACACTACAAATCAGGCGTTGATGGAAGCATTTACTAGTGCATTACTGAGTGTATAAACCATCTCACCTAGTAAGACTTGCGTTTTCTATGATGTAGATCAAATAGATTTTCTGGCTTTGTTGTGGGTTGAAAAGAAAAACATTAAAGAGGTCTGAGGGGAGATATGAGAATTCTAAATCAGGTAATATGTTTTATAAATGTGGAGGAAATGTTTAAAAGCATAAGTATATTTGAAATCAATAATTTATAAAAAGGATAATGACAGTCATTTTGCCTTTTCTGAGAGCAGACCAAGTATGTACTAATAGCTCTTAAAGCTGTCCCCTCCTTTCCATCTGCACTACTGCAGCCTTAGAAAGAATAAACCTTTCAAATGCAAAGATTACCATATTACCCCTCCCCCGCCAGAGCCTTTATTGCCTATCGGTAAACATCAAATTCCTTAGCACATCCTATAAGACTGTTTTGGACTGGCCTCCGTCTATCTTTTTCACCTCATCTGCTCTCACTTCCTCCTTGGAACTTGAGGTTCCAGCAACAATAAGATATTTGTAGGTTCACGAAAACAACATTAAATCAAATATATACATCAATTATTTGCATATACTATTTCTTCTTTCTGTAATCTTCCGATATCTTTGACTCAGCTCTAACGTCACTTTTTAATGGAAATTTCTATAATTTTCCCAAAGCAGTTCATCAGTTGCCTATCAAACTCTATTTTAGTATGTAACACACCACATTATAATTATTTGCTTACTAGAGGCCCAGTGCATGGATTTGTGCACTGGTGGGGTTCCTCGGCCTGGTCTGCAGGGATCAGCCAAAACCAGCTCTCCGACATCCCCGGAGGGGTTCTGGATTGCGAGAGGGAGCAGGCCAGGCTGAGGGACCCCACCAGTGCACAATCTGGGCCAGGGAGGGACTGAGGGAGGGCTCCAGGGCGTGTCTGGCACATCTCGCCCAATCCCAATTGGCTGGACCCCAGCAGCAAGCTAACCTACTGGTTGGAACATCTGCCCCCTGGTGGTCAGTGTGTGTCATAGCGACTGGTTGAACGGTCCAATGGTTGGACACTTAGCATATTAGGCTTTTATTATGTGGGATAAATCAGCCTCCACCACCAGACTGTATGAAGTCCTGGAATGCAGGGTTGTGTTTCCCCATTGTAAACCAATACTTGGCGTACAGTTTAATGGGCAGGAGAGGTTTGTTTGCCTAGAAGCTTTTCAATGAGGCTCAGTGGGCAACTTGAGAGGGAAGAGAGTAATGGACAGAGAGAGCTCTTGCCTCTTCTCTCCAGATGCTCATCTATAATCATTCCTCTGCACAAAAGTGCAGTCCAGCCCTCTGGAATTTCTTGTCCTCAAAGCACTCATTTCTCAGCATTCTGTCTTGGCACTCTACCTAAAACGCTAACTGTTCCAGATTCAATTCAGGCATTGACTTCTTTAGGCAATCTCCCTTGATGGCCCCACGAGGGGGTAAATGGTCTTTTTTTTTTTTTTTTTTTTTTTTTTTATATTTTGATTTTTCACAGAGAGGAAGGGAGAGGGATAGATAGTTAGAAACATTGATGAGAGAGAAACATCGACCAGCTGCCTCCTGCACACCCCCTACTGGGGATGTGCCCACAACTAAGGTAC